ATGAGTGGGCTAGAGTCAATGGGGTGTGGGGAGGCAGAGAAGGAAGATGGACAAACGGCACTGAAGTCAAGAAGAGACAGGATTAGAATATACGAATAGTAAGATTTTTATTCTTTCTAGTAAACTACAGCCACCACGTTTAAGCAAATGAGGTTTAGTAATAGCTGAAAGTACTAATGTGCAAATTGGGAGGTTTTTATTAAGCTAGTAACAGCATAAACTTGGCAAGTGATTTATCTTCTCAGGGACTTTAGAAGGAATGTCATAACTTATAAAAGGCTCTACGAAGTTAAGTATATAAATTATAATTAAAGCAGCTTTTTATGGAATCTGAACTCCTTTTTAACTTTAAAATATTATGATTCTAAACTATAGAAAAATGAACCAGTTTTTAAAATTAAATAATTAGACTTAGAGATTAACATATATAAAAAGCTCAAAGATTTTCTGTAATAAATAAAGAAAAATGTTTAAGTGACATAAGGTCTTTGTTTTATCTCCTAATATTTACCAAGTACATAGAACAAGAACAATATGTGGGAGACATTATTTGTGAAAATATTTGTGAAGTGTCTGAATAAGTATTCCTGAAAAAACTAGCAAAAGAATGGATTTTAAAGTATGCTTTAATGGATTATAAAGGATATTAAACATATGCTATATGTTTGACGTTATCTCTTATTTTTACAAATTTTGCTCTCTTAGATTTTTAGCTTGACACACTGTCTTATCTAGCTTTATAAACAATTTTTTGTCTTACTTCTCTATTACATTTAAATAATAAATACCCCCCACGAGCGGCTCTTTGGCACGGCCATGGCACCAGAGGTACATGGAACTAATCCAGAGCCCAGCAGCTTGTGGCAGAAATGTGAATGGACTATGTGTGCATTAAACTCTGGCGCCATGCCCCCCGGGAAGGAAAGTATGTCTGTCTTTTCCACCTCCCCCCCATCCCCGCTGCATGATTGCCTCCGCCTTAGAGCTTATAGAAAAGCCAGGTATGAGCTGGCAGTGACGGGGAACCTGCAGCCTCATGGGAAGGGGAGCGGAACCGGCTTGCCCTTTACGCTCAACAAAGGCCATGAGTTGCCTCCCATGAGCGGCTCTCCAGCATGGCCATGGCACTAGATACACAGAAACCCATCTCGTAATTATCCGGCTCTTGGCAGAAATTCCCCCACATTTAATTAATAAAATATCAGAAATCCCAAATCGCAGCCATGCGACATAATAGAAAACAAATTATTTCACAGTGCCTTTTTAGCAGTTCTGATTGTTGGGGGAAGTTCCAAACAATAGTAATGCATCTATTGTCGAAATAATGAATGTATTCAAAATAGAGAGAGAGTTAAGTAGAAATCATCTGCTTCACAGGCATCAGGAGGGTTGTGAGAGGGGGGTATATTTGGATTCTTGGTGGTGAAAAATAATTACTGGTGAGGGGAGGGGAGTTTGATTATTGTATGACCAGAACTTAAACCTGAAAGCTTTGTGACTTTTCTCACTCTGATTCAATAAATAAATTTTTAAAAATAAATAATAAATACAAAATCACATATATTCTCAATTAATACTAACTCACTAGTAAATTTTTTTAATTGTTGATGCAAAGTTATTTTATTTTTTTTTATTAGTGAAACACCATATGTTACAGTTGTTGACCTTACAAGTTTTTGTACTTGGGCTTCAGTCATACAATGATCGAGTACCCATCCCTTCCACCAGTGCCCATTCACACCACCAATGATCCCAGTAACCCTCCCACCCCTCCCATACCCCCATCCATCCTGTATCTGTGGCAGGGCATTCTGTTTGTTCTCTCTCTCCTTTCGGCTGCTAAGATTTGCAAAAGAGGCATTGAATGGCAAACATGTTTGGTCTATAGTCTATTTTTAGCATGCGTATCCCATCCTGGGAGAATCCTCCAAACACCCTTTACTCTTCTCTGTCTGAGCTGCCCTTTCTCATAGCATGTGTGGCTGGCTTTCAAATCATGGAGTAAACCTCCTGTAGCTTATCTAGAATATTCTAGGATGTTAGTCTCCTATTTTGTTACTTTATATTCCCCAGATGAATGCACTCTTTCTATGTCTGTCCCTCTCTTTCTGACTCATTTCTCTTAGCATGATACTTTTCATGGAGTACCATTTGTATGTAAATTTCATGACTTCGTCTTTTCTAACAGCTGCGTTGTACTCCATTTTATAGATGCACCAAAGTTACTTTAACCAGTTATCTGTTCTCGGGCACTCAGGTTTTTTCCCAGATTTTGGATATTGTGAACAGTGCAGCAATGAACATAGAAATGCAGATGTCACTTCGGCTATACTTTTTTGCCTCTCCAGGATATATTCCCAGGAGTGGTATTGCTGGGTCAAATGGGAGCTCAATTTCTAATTTTTTGAGAATCGTCTATACTGTTTTCCAAAAGGACTGGACCAGTTGGCATTCCCACCAGGAGTGAAGGAGAGTCCCTTTCGCACCACATCTGTGCCAACACCAGTTGCCCCTTTCTTTTGGATGTGGGCCAGTCTCTGTGGTGTGAGGTGATATCTCATTGTTGTTTTGATCTGCATCTCCCTGATGATTAGTGATGTAGAGCATTTTCTCATGTGCCTTATAGTCTTTTGGATTTCTTCTTTGAGAAAGTTTCTGTTCATTCCATTACCCCATTTTTAGATGGGGTTGGATGTTTTCTTTTTTACTTTCTCTTATTTTTCTTTTCTTATATTTATTTACTGAATCACTGTGGGAAAAGTTACAAACAAAGCTTTCAGTTTTAAGTCTTGATCATACAATAATCAAATACCTTTCCCTTCACCAGTACTCATTTTTCACCACCAAGAACCCCAATATACCCCCTCCCACTGCTCCCAATGCCTGTGAGGCAGATGATTTCTACTTAACTATCTCTACTTTGATTACATTCATTATTTCGACAAAAGATGCAGCATTATTGTTTAGAAGTACCCCCCCCCCCCAACAATCAGAATTGCGGAAAAGGCATTGTGAAATAGTTTGTTTTCTATAGCTGGTTATGAGAACTGCTCTTATATGATGTCGTGCGGCCGCGGGTTTTGCCGACCTTGTCTTCGATGTATCTTATGGATTATGGATTTCTGCAAAGAGCCAGATAATTACGAGATTGGTTTCTGTGCATCTGGTGTTATAGCCGTGCTGGAGAGCCGCTTGTCGGGGGCAATTTGTGACCTCAATAGGGCATGAAGGACGAGCCAGTACTGCCTCCCTTCCCATGAGACTGCAGTTGCCCTGTCACCACCGTCTCAAACCCGGCTTCCAATAAGCATTGAGGCGGCAGCAATGTGGCTGTCAGGAGGGGTGGAGGTGGAAGGAAGCAAAACTCTTTCTTGCCTGGGGGGGGCATGGCTCCATAGTTTAACACATGGCAAAAGAAGGCTTACAAAATCTGAGTACAATCCATTTATAGAAAGGAAGGCATAGATAATTTCAGGAGTGGGCACAAGTGCAAAATATCCTTGTAAACAGTGATGAAGCAGTTTTAGAAAAGAAATGTAAGATTTTCAGTAAAACTTCCAGACATTATTACTGTTGGAGTACAAGGAGTTTAGGTTTATCAGGTTGCACCCATCACAGTGCTCTCGAGTAATTCCCATTGCTTTGTCTGTAACCACTTCTATGCTCTCTTCCCCAACCAATTTGTAAGGTCTCATCCTTCTAGGACACTGAAGATGTACTGTAAGTTAATATTGACTTTCTCCTCTCCTTATGTCTTTTGAGCGTTTACTTTAAGGCAATGTCCTTTTGTATACAGGACAACAGGAAGACAATTAATATGCTTTGTAACTTAGGAATTTATTGGCTTTGAATATTATTCACTCCCAGGCATCTGCCTTCTCAACTTAAGTCCTCACTTCCTAGCACACCAAGGGCAGGGTCCCGACGTGGGACTGCATGGAACCAGGGCAAGTCGGTAAGTTATGTGCTACCCTGGCATCGAGATGGGCCAGGCCAAGGTGCCACGATTCTTAACTATAAGTTAAGAGTTTGATCATAGGCAAATGCTGTCATGATCCAAAAGTAACAACGAGACTAGGACCCTGCTGCTAAGAATAGGAAAGATATCTGGCCTGAGCACTGCTGTCTGAGATCGAGATGGTCCTGGGAGAGCAATTCTATAAGCTTAAGGTATTTCTTACTGTGTCCATATAAAATGATTTATATTATGTATGTTTATATGTTGGTCGGACAAGGAGAGGAGAAACGCATCCAGGGAAATCTGTTCTAGGGTGGGTTGATCTGCTAAATGAGAATCTGTCCTAGAAGCTGTTTTCCTGTGTGTCCTGACTAGCTTGGATGAGACTGAACTTTCTCCCCTTCAAACTGCCTTCAGTAAATGATTTCAGTATATTGAGGCAGTTTCTCTTATGTCACAGGAACCTAGCTGGTCTTAGGTATGCTGATCCCAGGTGCTAAGCCAGGCCTGATCTTTGGGATGTAGATGCCTGGCACCAGGCAGGCTGATCTTAGACATGTAGATTCCAATCTCTAGTAGACTGGTCTTTGATGTGCTAATCCAAGTGCTTGTAGCTTGTAAAAGGTGAGGCCAGGACTACTGGCCTGCAGATGTAAAGAAACGATGTATGGTTTGCTGCCTCAATGTTCTTTCTGTAACTCCTTTTGATGACATGACTATATTGCGCCCTTTAGAGGTACTATGATCTATATAAGGGAGATTTCAGGGCTCTCTGGGGGAACACATGCGTCAGAGAACCTGGGAAGATGGGGCTGAGAACAGAAGCTGAAAGAACAAAGGCACACGTGCTTGAGAGATCCTGGGGCCTCCATGACATACATCTCTTCCCTGTAATAAACTGCTGCTAAGACCAACTAGCCTGGCCCTCGTTTCCTTCCTTTGCCTGACCATCGCCATCGACTTTCCTGAGTGGGGGAACGGCCTGAGACCACTGAATGAGGGCAGTTGGAGAGATAAGCCACTGCCATTCCCTTGCTTGCCATTTATTTTTGCACAACACTGCAATTTATTGTGTTGATATCACTGCTAATTACACAGGAGACACTTTATCTCCAAATCCATGAGGTCCACACAAACTTTTTCAAGTAAGAAACAAATGGCATGTTCAAAACTATAAGGAAATAGCCTGATATACAGGTGATGAAGACTGGTTAAGTGAGTCTACACATTTATTTCAGGCTGTTGAAGAGTTTGTGGGCCACACAGTGGTCCCGTACATGCAAGAAGTCAAAGAGCTCCTTAGTGCAATCCTCCTCTGTTTTTGACCTCGATGATACACACTGGTCACACATCTCTAATCGCTCCCGAGCCTTTACACATTTCTCCAGTTGCTCACACTGTTCTCTCACTTTTGTTAGGGGATCTACTAATTCCTCCTCCTCTTCCTCCTGTGGGTCTCCGGACCCCGTCAACATCTTGCGCTCATGCTCCAGCCCCATGTCCAGCGTCGGTTCCGAATTCCACGCGCTGCACTAGCGGCCACGTCTCCACTTCATGCCAGTTTGTCAAGTTGTCTGTTAAAATGAAGACTTTCTTGAGAAAAGCAAAAGCTATGTTACTTTCAGTTAGCACTTTAGCCCATAGTGAATTGTTATTGAGATCTAACAGGAAATAGGGCCTTGAATGTGGGCTTAGAAGCAGACCAATTCAAATAACAATCTGTTTGCCAAAGAACAATATAAACTGCGAAATGATTTAACTTGAGAACTGCCATTTGCAGTATTGCTAACACACCAAAGATTTATTTCTGTAAAATTTGTTTCTGTAAAATTTGTAACAAGCTATTTTGAATGACAATATAAACTGCCAAATGATTTAACTTGAGAACTGCCATTTGCAGTATTGCTAACACACCAAAGACTTATTTCTGTAAAATTTATTTCTGTAAAATTTGTAATAAGCTATTTTGAATGACACAGCTGACCAACCATTGAATATTTTTGTTATTTTATTTTATTTTGGCTTTTTGGCCATACCCGGCAATGTTTAAGAATTACTCCTGCCAGTACTGAAGGTACCATAAGGGATGCTTGCATCACATCAGTATCGACCACATGCAAAGCAAGCTCCCTACCCACTTTGCTATCTCTCCAGTCCCTCACAGAATATTTTTTAAAAGTCTTATAGTAGTTAATATAGTTTAACTCTGGTCTTAGGTTTTGTTTGTTTGTCTTTTTGTGGCCACACCCAGCAGTGCTGCAACTACTCATGACTCTGGATTCAGGGATCACTCCTGGTAGAGCTCTACTCAGGGGACTAAATGGGGTTCTGGGTATCAAACCTAGGTAGCAGGGTGCAAAGGAAGCACTTTGTCCTCTGTACTATCTCTTTGGCCCCAGGTTTCATTTTTAATATGCTGTAGTTATATTACTACAGACATTTTGCAATATGTCTATTTCAGAGAAATCGCATTTTCTTTTCTGATTTTCATTCTTAAAAACTGAGCACTCTTCAACTGCCTATTAAGATATAATTTTCCATGATCTCTCATCTTTTTGTGCATCTTGTAGAAAAGGCCCAAATGAAAAGACCCTTTGTTTCAGGCTGTCTTTTCAAGAGTACCTATGTAATGAACAGTTTCTATCACCTAAGCAAAAGATAGAAATGCTTTCTACCATTTAAATAGTTTTAGGTTCTATAAGCCTAAAGTTGTTCTCCGTTTATGAACCAACTGTATGTAAAATATAATCACTTTCCATCATCTGGTGGGATTTTTGAACTCAGAAAACTTACACCTGAAATTGTGGGTAGTCTAGCTACTGCTCTTAAGAATAATAAATTGAATAATAAATTGCACTAAGTAATAAATGACTTAGATTTTCATGGCTTCTATGTGCATCCATAAAATTATGTTAGACTAGAGGATCAGAGCAATAGGACAGCGAGTAGGGTGCTTGCCTAGCATGCTGTAACACTGGATTCAATCTCCGGCATCCAATATGGTCCCCAAGCACCACCAGGAGTAATTCCTGTGTTTGGAGTCAGAAGTTACTCCTGAGCATCACCAGATTTGGACCAAATACCTCCCACTTCCTTTATGTTACATTTTATTTTTGGAAACTTAGTTTTGGAAGCTTAAGTGGCATGACAATGAATAGTCACCTAAAATAAATCTTGCATTATTTTAAATACTGGGTGCTGAACATACAGGTGAATAATGTGATTCACTATCCTTTGTGGGTTGAATTGTTTTTATCATCATCACTGTTAAATAAGCAATATATTGAATGCTGCCAAATATCTTCTGGTGAGTCATTATTTGTTTATTATTTATTTATTACAATTTCTCCCTTACACTTTATATAACCACTGTGTTTTACATAGCTATTCATGATGATTTCTTACAGGCATTAAATATCCCACCAATATAACACCTCCACTCCACCACTGTCTCGAAATTTCCCAACCACCCCTTAATCTCGCTCCCGTAGCAGGCCCTCAGTAATTTATTTAATATTACTTGTTATCAATCACTTGATCACTTGATTTCCCGTTAATCGTCAATGTGCTCCAGCGAGTGCCAGTAACTTCTCCATTTGTCCCTATCCCGTGCTAGTGTAGCCCAAAGGCATCTGTTCGTTCTAGGAACACAAAGAGCCTCAAACCGATCGTTCATGATCTTGATGAAGAAGTCTGACCATCTGGTAGGTGGGTGGCCACGCGGTCTTTTGACATCCCGTGGAATCCAGTCGGTAACAGCTCTAGTCCAGCGGTCGTCTCTAAATCTCATTACATGACCAACCCATCTGATTTTTGACACTTGGCAAAAGAGACAGCGTCCCTGACTCTTGATCGTCGACTGAGCTCATAACTCTGGATTCTTTCCCTCATTTGAGTGAAACATGATATTCCAAGAATAACTATTTCAATTCCTCTTTGGGAGACACGAATAGCGTTCTCATCCTGTTTGCGTAGGGCCCAGGTCTCTGAGGCATATATTACTGCAGGAAGAACAGTGGAATCAAAGAGATGTGCCCAGAGCTGGAGGTTCTTCGTCCTCTTAGCTTTTTCTTCGACGCCCTTGAAGGTGTTCCAAGTCGCTCTCTTCTTCCTGCGCAGCTCGGGTGCAAGGTCATTTGTCATGTTATCTTCTCGACCTAAGTACACATAACTGTTGCATTAGGAGATGGTCATTCCATTGAGAGCGAATGGGGCGTCAGGAACGAGGCTGTTTCTCATAAACATTGTCTTCCTAAGATTTAACTGTAATCCGACCTTTCCGCACTTATGGTTGAAGTTGGTGAGCATTTTTGCTGCTTGCTTTGGTGTTATTAAAACAATGATATCAGCAAAGCAGAGGTGGTGTAGTTGCCGACCATCTATCTTCACTCCCATTCCTTCCCATTCCAATCGTTGCATGATGTTCTCGAGGGTGGAACTGAAGAGTTTCGGTGAAATGGTATCACACTGCCGAACCCCTCTCTTGACATCAATGATTACTTCTTTGTAGAATGGTGAGATCCTAGTAGTAATCCATAATACAGCTCATGGAGGATCTTGATGTATTGAGCTTGAATGCCCTGATTGGCTAGGGCTTCAATGACCACTTCCATCTCAACAGAATCAAAGGCCTTCTTTAAATCAATGAACGTTAGACAGAGAGGCGTCTTGAACTCCCAAGAAACCTCAATGAGCTTGGACATCATGTGGATATGGTCGATGGTGCTGAATTCTTTGCGGAACCCGGCTTGCTCGCATGGTTGTCCTTCATCTAGTGTTCTGCCAATCCTATTCAGGATGACTCGAGTGAACAACTTGTAGATGAAAGACAACAGGCAGTTCAGGCAATAGTTGCCAATGTCATGGATGTCTCCCTTCTTGTACAGTCCTGCTGGTTTTCCATTGGGACTTGCATTCAGACAGGTAGCGTGTGAAGAACTGAGCCAGTGAGTACTGACGGCAGGTTTTTCAGGTGTTCAGGTCTGACCTTGTCTGGGCCGGGTGCTGTTTGTTTCTTTACTGACGAAATGGGGTGTCGGATTTTGGAAGGGAGAACATTGGGAACGACATATCCATCCTGTGGAATTTAGTATGTCAGCAGGTGGACATGGCTATCGAAGAGATTTGAGTAGAAGTCATGGATAATCTTCATTGCCATTCTGGCAATGTGATAGATCCATCAGGACGTTGGAGGGCAGTCATCTTGGTCTTGTAGTTGGCGAAGGACAGGCGGGCGTTACAAAAACTTTTCCCAGCTTCTTCCACATCTACCAGCATTTCTGCTCTTATCTCTTTGAGGTCTTCCTTGATCGTATCTCTGCACTGCTTGGCGAGCTCGGACATTCGCTTGCAGTTGCCTGAGCATGCGCCAAACCATGTTGGCGAATAACTCAAGAATTTTGGAAGACAGGCGTTTTTTTGAGGCTATCTCTCTCTTGGTGTTTCTCGCACAATCATGGAAGTGCTGAACCAGTTGATCATATTCTCGTCAATGTTGTCAACAATGGCATCTTCCCATGTTGCCGCAATAGTGCCAAAAAGCTCCCAGTTGTTGGTCGTTCTGGGAATTCTCTTCTTAAACTTTGCAGCCCTTTCTCCCCGCTCTGTGAAGTAGAATTTTGCACGAAGGAGATGGTAGTCCAATCCCATTTGGAATTTTGTGACAACAGCGACATCGTTGTGAAATCGTCCACCATTGAGACTCCCATGTCCAACGTTTAGATTCGGCCTTCTGGAATCTTGAGTTACCATGGATGGTCTTGGTCAACATGATGATCTCAGACAGTCTCTCACCCTGTTTGTTCCATTCTATGCCATAGGTCCGGATGTGAAGTGCTTCAGCTGATCTTGGCATTAAAATCACCCACAATGATCTTGTAGAGGGTGTGTTCTTCTTTATAGAACTTCTCCAGCTCCATGTAGAACTTCTCAATTTCTCCTTCATCATAATTGGATGTTTGTGCGTAGACAACGAAGATAGAAACTGCCGGCAGTGAGCCACATCTATTCAAATGTAAACGTCTGATTCAGTTGTTAGGCATTCGAATGAATCAATGCTCATGGCCAAATTCGTGTTGACAAGGACACCGATGTCTCCGACACCTCTTTCATCACATGTTCCAAGGAAAAATTCTTCTCCAGTGTCGAAAATGGCGTGATGAGATAGGTGCCTTCTTGTCTCGGTCAGACTAATGATGTCGTACTTGATCTTTCGTGCTTGTACCATCAGGTCCTCGGTGAATGGATCTGATGCTAGCTTACGTGTATTGAACGTACAGACGATCATTTTTGTCTTCCTTCGTTGTGGCAGCCTAGTTCGGCCTTGATATTTTATCGGCCTTCCTTTCTCTTCCTTTTCAATGCTGCCATATTCGTGACGCCTTCAGGGTCAGGGAAATAAGACCCATTGTAATTACTGGTTTTGGCATATTGAATACACAATGGATAGCTTGCGAGAATCTGCTGTGCGGGCGGAATACTCTTGATAGCTTGCCAGACTTTCCAAGAGGGATAGAGGCTTTTGGGGCAGCCTTTAATCGCCCTTGTAGT